CTTGGTTGTTTTCTCTTATAGATTGCTCAAAGGAATAGCTTGGATGTTGATGTCGACTTGGCTTTGGGATTTGCTTCCCATTATGGTAAAATTGGAACTATGGAATGTTTAGTGGAAGAAGGGAATGCAATGGCATTCTTGGGACCTTTGATGAGAGCTGCCGAAAGGGGCTCCATGCAGGTAGTTGACTGGTTTGTTAAAAGGGGTTGCAGAGACATGGAATTATGTCTGGCCCTCACCGCTGCTACTTCCAGTAGTCAGGTTGAAGTTGCTCGATATCTCCTTCCTCACGTTCCTCAGCATGTTCTTGCTGCCCTAAGCATTGAGATCCTTAAGGCTGCTGGTGAAAGAAGTAGCGGGTCTCTCGATGGAGTAGCATTTCTCCTAAGTTCAGACTTCCTTGGCGATCCCATTGCCACTTATGCCGTCGCGGACAGCATTGCTAAGTCCGATGACGAGGCTGTGGCTCCTGCACTCAGGTCTTTCCTTCGAGAGCATTGGTCAGAAGCTGCTTTCTCAGACGGACTTAGGCAGGGACAAGAACACTACTGTAACCTGGTGCGTATTATGAAATGGGGGGAATCTCCCGTGTGTTTGAGGGACATTCCGGGGCCATTGAGGATAGCAATAGCATACCTGCCACTGTATAGGGAATGTGTCAAGGCAGGGGGTTGCTTGTTATCACAAAGACTTAAGGGCCAGCTTGTGGAAGCAGCAAAAAGGCTTGATGGTGTAGTGCTAGAAGAGGTAAAGCAAGGAAGAGAACTATTGGCTGTTTTGGAGCATCATCTTCCTCCATTTTTGCATAATAATGCATCCAATGCTGCTTAGTTTTTGAAAATTTTCACATCTTGTCTCTTCACAAGTATAATAACACAATGATTGGTGCATTGAATGTGAGCAAGAAGCCCTCTTAAGGTTGGTCAATTATCTTAATGAACCAGACCAGTAGATTACCTTTGTGTTGACTTAAGATAATTGTACCTGCAGAGAGTCTACAATTTGCATAGTCTGATGTGTATGTTGAGTAACTACATTCACAAGTCTGGGAACTCAAATGGACATGCAATATTGGCTATTTTCATGGCGCTTCTCCCCACTTGTCTTCTTACGCGACAGTACATATAAACACGTGGTGCGTCTTTTTATCACCGATTATGAGTAATTAATACTCCTTTCGTCCCAATTTGTGTGATGTTTGATCGGGCATCGAGAGTTTAGGAAGATGTTTGAATTTGCATTGAGTTTAAGGAGATAAAGAAAGATGTTTGAACTTGTGATTTAAGACAAGTTATTGCTATTGTGTGGTCGTAAATCTCTCATTAAGGATAAATAAAAAATTTACTAAGTTAAATTGTTTTTAAATATAGAAAGTAATACATAAATTAGGATGGATCGAATGGTATCACTTCAATTGATCACTTAATCATGTTAAACTTTAATGTGGTATGGTGTAATATTAGGTGTTGATGGATTTCATTTTTTCTTTTTGGATTTGTTGCTAATTAGCACTATTTAGCTATGAACCGAGGGTTTATCGGGAACGATCTCTCTATCTTATAAAGGTAGGAATAAGATTTGCGTATATCCTATCATATTTAAATTTTATTTATATTTGAATATTTTATTGTTATTATTAACAATATTTGGCTATAGCTATCCAGGTTTTATGAGAATTAAAAGAAATTTGATCCCATCATATTATCTTTTATTTTTACCTTTTGCATTGTTTATCAGCATGCAATTGTTTTGGGATTTTAACTTTCTATGTTTTTGTATCAAGTCGATGTTCTTGTAAAGAGGTTTGATACTGACAAATATGTGTTATATTCTTATTTTTGTTTTCTTCCTCTCCTACTGTCGAATGACTTTCAGCTTGTTTCATGGATTAGAGAGAAGAGAGCTAATATATTTCCTTCTATGGACTTACCTTTTTCTTTAGCCTCTGGGCCCAGTAGTGCTTTCTTAAAGCTTGTAACTTTTTTCTTCTTTTTGTTTTAGATTAATTACTTGAGTGAATCCCTTTTAATAAATAACTAGTGTATTTAAACAAACTCTTTAATTATAGCAATACTATGTATTTTATTAAATTTCTCTCTCTATACACTTTTCCTAAGCACTCTCTCCCGGTCTCTCTACATTGTGGAAAAAACTGTGCTTCTATCAAAGGCCGAAGAACTAGGATTTACATTTTCATTCATAGAGAAGCTAAGGCTATTTTCATAGGTCGAAAAACAGGGGCGATTCAGTTTGCTGGAGAAGTGGCTAGTTCTCGTTTCCTGCTTTGGTGTTGATGACGATTTTCATTCTGAGAGTTATTTTAACAATCGTATTCAAACATCTGAAGATCTGGAGTTTTGAATATATGAGGGTTTGAAAAATTTGAATATATGTAAATATGAAAGTTAGATTGTATTAAAATTATCTAGGCCACTTCCTCCATAAGTTGTAGGTGTGTCATGTCCTGTCTAATAGCCAACCTTTCACACCTCCTCACTAGAACATTTGTGTATCTCCTCTATACATACCTAAATCATTTCAATCTTATATTGGATATTCGAGTTCCTAATCCTATCTCTCCTAAAAGGAGCGTGCATTTATCTCAACATTCTCATTTACGCCTTTCTAAACCAACTAACACTCCACTCCCTACAATAACTGTTCACTTAAGATAAAACATAATAGTGCAAAACTATTCAATCAGTTTAACAAGTTTCTCACTATTTTTTCAAATTATCGTTCTGTCTTTCCTATAAACAACAATATATATTAGTAAGCTCTTATTAATATGATAATGTATTCTTTTTATTTTATATAAAATTAAGTGCATTTTAAAAAGCTAAGAGCCAAAAACTACAAATCCAAATAGCATTAGATTCTTTTGAGGTAACCAAAATATTAAATTAAAGTCATATAATTTACAACTTTTTTATCTCTAAGGTAGGTCATTGATGTCATTAGAAAATTTAATAATCAGGTCATTAAACTATAATATACATTATAATTTTTTAAAAATATATATTTACTTGTTATTTTTGTTGGTGAGGGACTATTCATATCAATTACTCATTTTAAATATTTTTTTCCCATTAAAAGTAAAATGAGTTTCTTTTATTACACGATTAATAAGAAAATCAAAAACAGAAAAGCTTAGTTGAATTAAGGATTAAAAAACAACTTTAGCTATCCTATTTTATTGAGTTTCATATTTGAATTGGGTTTGTCTATAAAATCTTGTCTACCCGACATAATTAGCAACTTTATTTGCTGAGACATTAATTTTTTAAAATATATTTTTCATTGACTTTTTAAAACCCTTAAACTCCCCCTCCCTTCAATAGGAGACATCGAATGCCACATCAGATATGAGACCACGACTAAGAAGGTGGAAAAGAAGATGGTAGACTAGATATCACAGTTGAAATAAATTAATTTATACGGGCAATTTTAACCTAATTTTTTTTTTAACTTTTTAACCTAATATTAATTTATTTAGACTTGTCAGAGGGAAATTATTTTTTTGAGTGCCACTTGACAAATTTTAAACAAAAGAAAAAGTGTTCACACATCATCAAAAATAAGTCAGAGGTGTATTTTGCTAACTATTGAGTGATAGTTCAGATATGAAACTCAAAAAATTAAAATAATTAAAATATGTTTTTATAGTTAACTCAAAAATAAAATGAGTTTCTTTTCTCACATGGTTAATAAAAAATAAAAAATAAAAAATAAAAAACTTAATTGGGAATTGGCATGTCAGTTCGATTTGCTTATTTTGCACATCACGGGTCGGTCGGGTCGGATCATGGATCCTTATAAATACTGAGATTAGAGAAACGGCATTTTGCCCCGCCATTTTTCAATCAAAAATTCAAATAAAGCAGTAGCAGATGAACTAGAGAGAAGCTTCAATTCGAAAATTTTCGTGCTAGGGTTTTGATTCAATAGAATCCTTGCATTTTTCACGGGAGATTTTCGAATTCGTGGAGGTTATGTGGAATTTGTACAGCTCTATAATAGTTTTCGAATCTCGCGATTTGGTGTTGAATTGAAATTGTTTGATTTCGTTTATTTCTTCTCTGTGATTTTCAGGTTGAAATTTCAAATTGGAGAGTTTTAATCTTCGAAGTTCCGAATTTGTTCTGATTATTCAAATTCTGTAAGTACGATGCAAAATAAATCTCGATGTCCCTGTTTCATTTTTTGTAATATTTTGTTGATTTAGTGTATATTTTTTCAGTGATTGCAGATTTGTTTCATTTGAAGGTTTCGGATCAAAATTTTGGCCGAAAAGCCAGTTATTAAGCTCGTTTGAAGGTGAAGATTTGTTGCTCAATCACTTGATATTCTGATTATCTGTTTGGCGGCTTGAAAATTATAGGATTGAAACTTTACCTATTCTAATTCTACTTTCCTACTGACATGATCTAGAAAATTTGTCATGCTGATAGCTAATTAGTTAAATTTGCTTATACTTCTGTTCATTTATCTCGGTTGATGCATAGTCGTGATGTTTTTATTTATTAAAAGTTGAGTATTCATCAACATGTAAAAAACTGATTTTTCAATAAATAAGCAGCAAGCAATTTCACGTGATAGTTAACTTGCTTTTCTACAGTTATCAAAGCATGTTTGTGTTTTCCAGTTAGTTTTCTTCTGCTATCCAAGTATGAACCCTGATATTTCAAAAGTTTATACGAAGCTAGAGGTTTCAGCTATGGATATTCTAGCTGCCACTAGGCAGTTCTTCTTTCACATCAAGCATGTTTGAAATTGGATTAGCCAGATACAACTGGCTGTTAAGTGGTTTTTCTATTTGTGTCATTTGAGATGCAAAGTTTGTTCGGCGATGTAGTCAACTTTTTCGTAGGGATAATTAGTCATTTTTCATTGACTATTCCTCTGTCTACTGCTGTAGTACGCATGGGATCAGAAATGTTGTGCTCAGACTTTTAATGATTACAGAACTTTGTATAATGTGCTATGAAACTGACAATCATTTCTGAAGGTTGAGATGAGATGCAATGCTTGCTGGCGAGAATTGGAAGGACAGGCCATCACTACCACTTGTGGCCACATCTTCTGTATCCTAGTTTTGCATGTGTTCCATATCTGTTTTGTGTGTATTCCAGCCTCCCGAGGGAATGTCTTAGCTGTCGATGAACTCTTGGGAATTAAGGTTCGATTCCAGCAGAGGTGACACTAAATCCCATCTGCCAATGTTTTGGTGGGAAGTGTTATCTGCTACTATATTGGTGGTAAGTAGCAGGTACTTGATGGCTCATTTGATGTTCGTGGAAGCTAGGACAGATACCACCGTAATCCATAAAAAAATAGTGTTCCCATATAGGCATGTATGGTTGTGCAGTTTTCTCATGGACGTGGTTATGGTGTACAACTGCTATGATTCCTTAACAATGATAATAGGTCAGAACGATGCCAGTAAGATTCTCAGCAGTGATGCTGCTTGTCCTATTTGTGATCAAGTTCTCTCTAAAAGGTTAGTGCTATCTGGTATAACTTTCATCAAGTGTTGTTTCCTTCACCTAAAAATGATTGATTTTGCAATAGGTATATCCTTAAAATTAGCACTTTCTCTAAGTTCTTGTCCCTTTCTCCTTTTGATTTGTTTTTCTAAATCTTTTTTTGTTGGTTTGTTTGGGGGTTGGAGGGTTATGACATTTCCGGAACATTGATTTTGTTTTCCATTGCTACATTTTATGTATTAATTGGGTTGTATTTTACTTTTAATAGCATTTATTAATCACTCAAAGAAATTTGTAGCATCTTGTCAAGTCTGTTATGTAATGTAACCAAGCCTCTGATATGTTTGTTTCAGTCTCATGAAACCTGTGGACGTCAATCCAAGTGATGAATGGATAAATGTAAGCACATATTTGTGATAGGGTTCTCCCTTGTCACTTTCTACATTTACGGTGGCCTAATCATATTTGTTCTAACTTATTTCTTAATCAGCATCCTAGTTAAAATTTGTTCACAACCTCATGCAGATGGTCATGGCTGGAATTACACCACAGATATGTATCCTTCATCGCCTGTCCTGTGTTGCCATATCTGTAATATTCAGTTTTACTTTAAAAACATAGTGAAGTTGGCTTATTTATATTAACATACTACTTTCCAAAGTTGATGTAGGGTAACAATATCTTTACAGAAATGGTATTACGTTAGCTTCACTACTTTCTCCTTAATCACGCCCAGTAATGAAGAGTGCCTACAGAAGTGTGATGTTCCACATTGGGCAAAAGGAATTGGAAATGCAGTTCAAGATGAACAAGATAGTAGCTCAATGCCGTCAGAAATGTGAGATGATGCAGGAAAAATTCTCTCAAAAGTTGGAGCAAGTGCATACTGCATACCAGAAGGTGGCTAAAAAGTGCCAAATGTTGGAACAAGAGATTGAGACCTTATCTAAAGACAAGCAGGAACTCCAAGAAAAATTTGCTGAGAAATCCAGGTTCTTCTTCAGTACTTAAAGCAGTTTCTGTTTGTCCCAAGTCAAAAATTAAGAAATCCAGTGTAACTGCAAATGCTCTAATTCTCCACCATAGTCTATTAACTGGGGAGGTTGCAAAGTGTGCTTTGACTTACTACTGAAATCCGCTATCTTTGGTACGTTCTCTCAGAAATAACATAGGTTTCTACTGTCAGGCAAAAAAGAAAACTTGATGAAATGTATGATCAGTTGAGAAATGAATATGATTCAGTAAAGCGCACAGCCATTCAGCCAAGTAGTTTCTTTTCAAGAGCAGAGCCTGATATGTTTGCAAATCCTGCTAATATGATGGACAACAGAGATACTATGAGAAAAGGTAACTTATTTTGTATTTAGCATAATCACATGGCACATGTGAGGCTGGTGTAATTTGAAAATCATGATTTGTTCATCTTAGTGCATGAATACTCATTGTCCAAATTCTTTGAATTTTGGGTATTTCGCTCTCAAAGCTGCATTAACCTTTTAGCACAACATTAGTCGACTCATTTGCCGCAGATTGGTCGGTTCTCACTCCTGAAACTCCAGGACCAAGAGAAGACATATGGCCTCCAACAAGACAGAATGGTTCCAACTCTGGCCCTTTCGATGTCTCGAGTGGCTCCCCTGTTAGACAGTCAGCAGTGCCAGTGGATGCTGGAAACAGAAGAGCAGGCGCACATCCTATGCTTGGCGTTGCAACTGGCGCAAGCAATCCCTCAATGACCCTTAGGAATCTCATCCTATCACCAATTAAGAGACCTCAACTCTCCCGCAACAGACCACAGATGTTCACGTAAGCCACAAACTTTACATCCAATAAACTAATAAGTGAGAGCATAACTTTTACAAATATTTGGTTTTCCAGGTTTTAAGTTGGGAGATCTTTCAACTCCAATAGTGCAGAAAAATATACCTGAGATGCAACTATGGACCAGGTTTCCTTGACATTTTCATTGGGAAATTTTGCTGAGAAATTAAAGTGCCAGATAATGAAATGCTTAGCTGACTTTTCTTTTGTGGTAGGAAAAGTAAAGATGATGTAGAGTAATGTTTCATAGTTTACATACAAATTGATGATGTGATATGCGTTACAGTTTAATAGTTGCAGCTTTTCTTGCACTACTTAAGTGTATAAACATGCCTCTTTTGTACTTGAGGATTCAAAAATTATAAGTACGGAAAATGGAAACAGTGTCTTCCTTGTGCTGAAAATTGTAGTACTCTTTAGATTACATGCTGCTAACCTAAAGTGTATGCAAGAATACATGTCATGTATTGATTGGATTGACGTAAATATTGGATGTGGTACAGTTTTTTGTGGCTTGACATACCACGTTTAACAGAGCAGACATGATTAGAATCATCAAAAGTCCCTCTTTTAGGTACCTTACAATTCCAAATCCTCAACCTTCATAAATCCATGTATTAAGCTACTGTTAACTCTAGGAGCTTCACATATTACTTACATTTACGACATAGGAGGGGAGAGATCAGTGGATTTTATATGGACAAACCGAGATCATCTATTGGAAGTTTCAATTTGATGGGAAGGACAACCCAAGACAACACATCGCTCATTTTTTTGAAACTTGTAACATATGAGTTGATTGCAGGTACTTATGTTAAGAGTAGTGATACAGAAATTAAAAGAGAGAGTAACAAGAATGTATAATTGCTCTTTATGTAAAATGAAAGAAATGTATTGTATATGTGTAATTAACTGTCTCTCTCTATTTAAAATTTTTGTTACAAATATGTATAATTAAGTCTCTTGATCATATGACATTATTGGAAGGCATGAAAGCCAATATGATAAGAAGTATGAAAATGAAAATAGGGATTAACAACAACATGAATGGTGGTGGCGGTGGCAATGGTGGAAGTATCAATGGAAGAAGTAACAATAATGCAGTAAGACAAATTAGAAACAACATTGACTCTAAACTGAAATAACTCATGGTAGATGATACATTCCTTTTAGCATATTTCCCTTGTGATGAGAATAATCTTCCATACTCAAAAGTAGTAGTAGTAGTTCCATTGGAGTTTGTCACTTCTTTAACATCCATAATTACGAGGGACGACTTCTCTTGATCAATACTTTCTCTTGATAATGAATTATTTTCTTCGATTTGAGGGGTGAATTGATGAGTGTGTTGAAGGAAAGAAAAGGAGAAGAAGAAGAAGAAGAAGCAGTTTTAGAGTATTTCCTATTTTTGGTTTGAGATTTATGATAATTATATTTTGTACTAGATCTGTTGTTATTATTATTATATATATACTATGCTTATGTTATATTTGTTGGAAGAGAGAGAGAGAAATAGATGGGAAAATTCAGGTGGGATTCAATGAATTCCCAAATCAAGTGGGGGCAGTTTATTTCCTAGTTGATGTTTCTTGAAAAAGAAATAGGAGTGTTGTCTCCCTTGTCCAAGATTCTTCACCCCTGGACAATCTTGCTCTCCACACGACTCCAATCGAGTCGAGCTCAATCAAACTTCTTATATTAGTATCACATCGAATTGAATTTGAGTTGAATTTTATTAAAATTTAATCGAATTTGAGCTTAGATTGAGTTTACTCTTTAATGTTTAGTGCACTATTAGAAATAATTAGATATAAAATAAGTAGGTTGATTAAGAAAAATGTATAGACATTATTAGTTTAAATTCAAATTGAACATAGAATAGAACTTTCAGGTCAAAAAAGTAAATTAATAAAATTCAAAAAAGTTGTCTAATAGAATTAAGTTTCATTAATTTTTTTAATTACATACCGTACCACCTATAAAGTAATCAAAAACGTAACCCCCCTATATATATGGAAAATGAAGTCGTCTTAATTTAATAGGGAGTATTTTACCTTTAAAGTGAAATTTTTCGATACAAATTTAAATTAATCAAACCTCAAAATGAATCGGAAACACCAAAATGGAAAACCAAAAACAACAACTCCATTCTGAAACTTGTGTAGAAGAACACAACTCGAAAATGACTGTCAGCCAAAGTCGAAAACTTCCTAATTTTTGACTTTTCATTTTTCACGTTGTTATCGTTTTCTCTTTGAGCTTTTATGCCTGCGCCTCAAATATTTATATCATAAAAGTTTGTATTTCAAATATAATTGTAAAATGATTCCTATTAAATTAAGACGACTTCATATTCATGTCTCATCAAATTCGAAATCTCTTATACATATTAATTTATATTAACCTTTTATAGTGCTTGATATAGTGAAAAATTCAAGATTTTCACTAAGGAGTTTGAAATATAAAAATGTAATGTTTGAATTTTGAACCCTTTAAACCACGTAGATGGTGTTTGGATTGACTTATTTTAAATCATTTTTGGATTCTAAACTCTTTTATTTTTGAAAGTGTTTGTGAAAGACAAAAAATGCTTTTAAGCTAAAATAAAATATACAAAAATAAGCTAGAAGCCAACAGTTGAATATTTTCAACTTATGACATTTAACTTTTAGGGATTATTTAGTTCGAAAATATATTATGCTAAGATAATTTAAGCTGGAATTAGTTATGTTAGGATTAGTTTTTATTGCTTGTTTGGTTTGTCATATTTAAAATAATATTCATTGCATAATTTCTAAGAATAAGTTGTTTGTTAAAAATACCCTCCACCTAATTTTAAAAAAAATATATTTTCTTTGCAAGCTTTAGTTATTCATTCCTAAAAACAAAATTTTCATCTTATTTGTCTTAAATATCTTTGTATGTGCATTTTCATGATTGTGCCGTCTATACCCTTATGAAGTCTTAGATCGCCTTTTGAGAATAAAGTACTCCATTAATTATATAATTGAATTTAATATCTAAGTATTGATTGATATAATCTTATAATAACTCACTTGTAACTTAAATTTTGTGAATAAAGTCACTTAATTTGTATTATTTCACTAAAAAATGTCACTCCTTTTTTAATCAAAAAAATGTCTTAGTCGGAATAAGTGATAAATCCGACCATTATCACTAAAAAAATGTCACTCTTTTTTGTATCCTTTTTTTTAAATCGGAAATTGATAGATCCGACTATTTTTAATGATGTGATAATTGGTTTTTAATTTTTGCTACTTCATAGTTCATTCAAAGGTCACTAGTAAGGATGAATTTGATTGCTTTTAATGATGTACATGAGTTTTAAGTAAAAAAATAATTAGAAAAAAATATTAAATCAGATTCAAGTAAATAAAAATCTCCTATTCAATCCAGTTTTGATCGTAAAATCTCTTTATATGCTAAATAAATGCATAAAAAATCATTTACATGCTAAATAAATTTCTTTATCTGTCGAAAATTAATGATAAATGCTTTGCAAAAAATATTTAAGAAAGTTGCATAAAGCAATAGAACTCTTATGTTTGGGAGTATATATGATTTCGATTTGAGGACGTGATATATGATTTATATATAGATTGATAATGTAGACAATAGAGTTTAAATACAAAACAAAAACTATCCTAATTATAGAAAATAAATTACTTGCAATTTACATATAAGACTTGTTAATATCTACAAAGGAATTCTATATTCTTGCAAATAAGGAATCATTATCATCTAACACTTAGAATCCTCCTCATTTACAAGTTTGTTAAAGCTACTATATATTTATAAGCAACAAATATAATACCACAAGTCATCAACATGTAAAAAAACCTCACTCGAGCCCTAAAATATTATGTCCAACAATTATCTTCCATGTGAGAATACCGTTACTAATATCAACTAATATTCTTCTGTCGTTGACAGGGCCTTATATGGATATATATGGTGTATCTTTTCTTTTGTACTTTTGATAATTCATCGGGACACTTCTTTTCAAATTAATCTCATTAATCATGTGCTATGAGAATCATTACTTATTCTTAAACTCTCTGGATCACGTAATGAATTTATGGGAGTTCTCACATGATATAGTAAAACCTTATTTCCTTATTTAAATACTGTTAAAGTTTCTTATTATAATTTAATTTATTTATTGTGTATTTAGCGAAATAATAGTGCTTGGAGAATCATTACTTGTTCTCAAACTCATTAGATCATGAGTCCAATTGATAGGCTCTCATATGATGTAATAAAATATAAGTTTCATATTTAAATAGTGTTAAGTCCCTTATAATAATTAAATTAATTAATTATTGTCAGCCAAATAGTAACCTAATTTATAAATACCAATTTGGTCGATTATTAACAAATTATTTTGTTGAGTAATATATATATATATATATATATATATATATATATATATATTGGTAATTAACACGAGTCGATTTATGATACACTTCTCCATATATAGTCTATCATCAATATAAAGAATAGTCGATGATCATTGGTAAAGTGGTTCATGCGTTTTTACAACAATAGATAATTTAAATAGAGATAATAATGATTGAATTGAATAACAATGATTGAGAGATAAGAATAACCATGGCTAAATTGGAGAAACTTTTCGTCGTTGGAAGGAATTTTTCGTTGAAAAACCTGAATTTGTTGCCAAAAATATTAGAAGCTCTTTTTTTTAAAAAAAAAAGAAATCAAATTTGGACTCGTGGTCCTGGTCACAACCATAGTCTTCTCCTCCTCCTCTTTTGGGTGATAAAAATCCTCCATGTGTGGTTCTCTCCATTTGTATTCAAGATCAGCTTTCAAAGGTATGTATCTTTTCATCTTCCTTGTCCATTTGCCGTTTCTGAGCTGACTTCCTAGCTTCCCTTGAAGGTGTTCTACCCGGTTCGGATGTATGAGTTATGGGAGGACTCTTAGGAGAGTACAAACCATGTATACCGATTTGAAGTTCTTGTAAGTATCCTTTGTCATTCCTCTTTTGTGATAAACTGCTCAAGCTCTGACACATCCTTATAGTAGTTGAAGATGAACATGAGTGAACCAAATTCTTCCGCTATTCATCCTTTTGGACTCCTAGTTGGATGCAAGTGAACAATGCAGATCCGGTTCCTTGACTCTCATGTTTTGCTGGTGTATGTATCCCTTTTTGCTGACTCTCATAGCTTAGATTAGTTAGTTCACTCACTGCCCTTTTGCTCCCGCTATAGCACCAATCTAATTTGTACATATTGTTGTGGAACTATGTGGCTTCAAATCTGTAACTAAGCATGTTAGTCGTAATTGATGATATTGATTTTCCTTGTTTTAACTCTAATTGAAGGAATCTAGTG